TTCCGATACAGTTACCCACTCTGTCAAGTCAAAATGTTCCCGAACCCTTGTATCATTATAAAGAAGCTGTGCAAGGGTAGTTTTGCCTATGCCACCCATTCCCACTATCGCAATCACGGATAGGTTGGGACCCCCAGCATCATTTGACAACAATAACTCGATAATCTTCTCTTTGTCTTTCTCCCTTCCATAAACATCAGATTCTTCAGCCCAAGGGGCAGGTAGTCGCCGTAACAGTCTTTTCTGATCACCTTCTTTCAAACCAAGGAAAAGTGCTTGATCCGAAAGAGACTTTAATCTGCTAAGGATATCCTCTATTTCGGATCTTACAGTGTTCTCAAATGCACCGAAAAATGTTGAAATAGAGTTGATAAACTTGCTAGCTCTGCTTCCAGATTGATCACCAGCTTCCACCTTGCGCCGCAGAGCTTCGGTGTTGATTTCATCCATTGCGTGGTCTGCTTCATAAAGCACTTGTTTAAGATCATCAAGCCACTTCTTCACGTTTTCATCTGTGAGTTGTTTCACCTCAGCATCATTCATCAACTTATTAGCAGACAACAACCTGATCTTTAACTCGTCAAGAAGCTTAGCAAGGACTTTCTTTCCTCGGAAGAAGTTAAGGACCTCTTGAGTAGCCATCCTATCAAACAAGACATTAAAGAAGCCGGAGAGGAGAGCACTTCCCACGAATTGAGCCATGGTTTCTCTTCCTTAAAAACAACTGAAATAAGATGGAAATGATGGTAAGCATAAGCATTCTAGAGTATAATTATGAGCTTAAAAATAGTTACTAGCTATCAAAAGAAACAAAAAGAATCACTCCAATGTTTCCTATTTTTCCTACTTTTCAAGTGATACTTTTTATTATTATTTTTTTAATTTTTTTATGATGGAGTGGTTAAAGATTATATACATATTCTTCGTTCAATATTAACTCTTTGATTTTAGTCATTTGCCTATGTCATTATCTAAAGATACATCAAAAACAGAGACGCAAAGAAAAAAAATTAACAAGGAAAAAAAAACATCAAGCCGTGAATCTATATTGAATCTATATGTAGTAAAATCAGAAGCATCTAAACCACTCTCAAAGAACAAAATTTGGAATTAAATCACATAACTATAAAGTAGAAGGTGAGAAGAAAGAGATGTACCTTTAGAAAATTAAGAGAAGATTTTAATGCTAGTTGTAAACAGGAGAAGATAACTTTGGTTGTAGCAATCTTTGTGCATGCTTCTCTTTAATGTAGATATACCTTTAGAGAATTAAGAGATGATTTTCCTTTGAATGATGAAAGTTTTCTCTTCTTCCAAAGGATCTGAAATAAGATTGCTGATCTAGATGGGAAAACAGTCTAGTGAAGAATAACAAAGACTTTCGCAAGGACTTTTGTTCAAAGAAAATATCTCTGTTTTTCGTCAACTATTTTCTCCCTCTTTTCCTACCCCAATTTACACGTTCGGAGAAGTCAATCATTTGTGGTTCCAAGTCCACTTATTCAGAGCACTTGTACAGTATACCTCTTCAATAATGTGAGTTGTCATGGTGAGTTGTCTAATTTTTGTAGAGCATCAATTACCTGAGAATCAAACCGCAATGTGACATCAGTGGGAGCTAAAGTTACCATAAAAAAACCAAAAGAATCAGCATTTCTATTTTTAGATTCCATTTGGTTCGCAAGTTGAAATTATGATTATTTAAAACTTTTTAGTTTAAACTGCAATAAGTCGATAAAAAAAATTGTTAAAAGTCTAAACTTCTGAACTTTAAATAAAAATCTAAAGATTCGTTTAGTATGAGAGTTTAAATTATAATTATTTTAATTTTTATTTTAGAACTATAATTATAATTTATGATTTTGAGTCCAAATTATAGTTATGAAACTAGAACTAGAATCAACGGTTTGAACCATTCAACATTAAGAAGAGAGTGATTTTAGAATCAAGAGTGATTCATAGTTTAAAACATCACATCAAAATTTAAATTTTAAATCAAAATCATCCTAACTAAATACTAGGGGACGTTTAGTTTATGTATTTAGAATTATGATTCAAAATTATTCTCGTTTTACGTGTATTTTTTATGAGAAAAAATATTGTAGAGAACCATAAATCATGATTCAAAATCAGTGATGAATATAGGAAACAAACGTACCATTTTCTAAGTGAATCAAATCAAAATTATTTTTTACTTTTTATAAACTAACACTAATTCTAAACCAAATCATTATCCCGGGTTCAGACCATTACACCAAATAATGGTTTGAACCGCATAATGCACTATTTTCATAATTATCGCTGTCGTTCATCTTGCTCGAGATGGCGAGATCTCGTTGGGAATATCTACAGATTAGTCTTGGGTGAGATTTGAACCGAAAGCCTTGGGGTCTGCGATGGGCGAAAGACAACGGAGGAGGCGAGTTGCAGCAGAGGCAAGTAATGAGAGATCACCATTGTCATTGTTTGGTTGAGGGTTAGAGATTAGGGTTTTGGAGGGCCGAGATTGGGGTTGTGGAGGAGAAGGATGGCATGAATATATATCTATATATATATATATATTATTTTGTTTACATCTTTTAGGAAGAAGACCAGGGTGATTTTTTTTTTTTTTTTTGGCTATGGATGGATTTCTTGCTTGGTTCTTAGATCTCTTTTGGAGTTCAAGTTCAACGTGTTTTTTTGTTTTGCAAAATAATTTCAGACGTCTTTTAATCTTTAGATTTAGCTTTTGATTTTATCACCACCCTATATAAGGAATCTCTTTTTATCTCTTTTCTCTTATTTTTGAATACTTAATCTTTTTTTAGGTTTAATTAGAATTTAATACCTTTGATTAATGCTTAATGATGAGCCACATCAGCAATTTCCTTAGTAGTTTAGATGGAAGGAGCAATTTGATCTATTTTCTATATATCAGGAGATGTTTTGAATTGTTTTGATAAATTATGAGGCACTTGGAAATATGGTATATAGTTTAGGTGGCATTTATAAAAATAATCTAAAATAATAATAAAAAGTAGTGAATGGATTCACTCTTAATAATTCGTAACTAGTTAATTATTAATCATTGGATGAAAATATTGAATCCATAATAGAGTAGCATTTAAGTGTAAAGGGCAAAATAAAAACCGAGTTCATGTCATTCAAAAACAAAAATAAATGCTAATTTATAAGCACAATAGGTCATTGTACTTAAGAGGTTGATCTTTTAGGGGAAAAAACTAAAAATACCACTTCAGATAGTAAAAAAATATTATTTGTATCACTTAACTCAAAAATAAACAATTTCATGCCACAATGACACAATTATTAGAATGACATTAATAACATGCCTTTAAAAAATCATGACAAATTATGTACTTTTCTTAGTCTTTTAAGGTGGAAGCCCAAGTCCTTAGAAAGTTTAAATTTAACATGTTGTCAGAGCTCAACTAATTCAAACGAGTGGCTCGATCCATCAAATACAATATTAGTGACTTCAAAGAGAGCCTAAAGCCTCATTGTAAAGGATAAAAATAAGCCTGAGTCCTATGTCATTTAAACACATGAACAAACACCAAGGTATAAGGATATGGAGTCACCAAGTTCTTATCCAGTCTAAATTCAGCAATAAGTGGTTTGTTGAAAGCTTATTAACCCCAAAAAAAAAGTGGTTTGTTGTTTGTATTCAATCATTTTTGTTCCGTTAAGTTTGAAGGGACCAATCATTTTTCACATTTTTTATATGCTAACGTCAAAATGAGATATCAGTACGGGAAAATCTCTGTCAATTCCGAAAAGGTAATAAAATTCTTTTTTAACGCTCTTTAATGTATTCAAGCTATCAAGTTTAATGTCACTTCTTTGATTTCATTTTGCCCCTGTTAACTAATAGTTGGTTTGCAAAATGTTCTTAAAACTGTCAAAAGTAGTTTCTTGCTTAATTGCATTTCAATAATTACCACGCCCTTTCTTTGTTTTCATAAACTATGATACATTTTCCATTACAGTAACCAGGTTATTTCTGAGAGGACAAAAAAAGATTATGACAACATTATTTTTGTCATTTTTTTGTTAACCTTATATTTGTCATAAAGAGGAATGCTAAATTCAGACTCTTATTCAGACTCTTTTGACAGACTTTAATCTCTCTTATTGACACTTGTCACTCTAATTTTACTTGATAAACTAACTAGAAAATAAGTCACCAATTTGCAAGTCATTTACAAAAATTGCCGCAACACCTTTAACCACCGTCTTTCTTCTACAACGAATTTCGGACAACCATCTTTCCCATTCCTAATCAAGAGGAGAGCCTATAGATATGTGCACAAGAATGCACATAATACACACAAGTCTTTCGACACTTTCTCTCTCCATTTCCATAGTGTTCTTGAGTAGTGAAAAATATTGTGAGGATTCTAGTAATTCTCACACACCGTTAGCGTTCGGAGTTCCCCTTCCCGGAGTGTCGCAAAGTTTCTAGTTCTAATCCTTAACCCGGTGCCCGTTTAGAGATTCCATCCGGCACCACCTTACACGCTTCCGTCAATACATAATACGAAAATGCATTTGTTTTCCCATCAACACAAGAAGAGTTGGAAAACATGTCATATAATTAACTGATATTTTTTATATTTGTCTAGGGGACTTGTTATTTATTGATTGGCCTTCACTGCATAATTCTTACAAGAAATGAGCATGGTATGTAAGAAATCAAACAATCAAGAATAGAGAATCTGTTAACGGGGTTCGGCCAAAGAACTGCCTACATCCCCGGGACTCAAACGTGTGGAGTCCGATCTTATTGCAGTGATCCAAATTACACACTTGGAATGATCTCCAATGGTTCTTAGAAATCTCTGTGTAATTCTCACTCTATTCCTTAGTCCCCAATTTAAAGTCTCTAAGAAAACCTCTCTCAAACCTCGCAAGTAATACAGACTAGAAACAATAGAATGAACCATTGAATTACATCAATCATCAAATACCCCCATTTACACAGATACAATATTCTCTAGATAATGACATAAAAGACATTGACCTGTACTCCGAGAAATCGGCATTTGAGATCCAAATAATGTGGCATATCAGCAACTTCAACTCTAAGGGTAGGCCCTGCCAAATGACCAACGGCGGAGTCTGCAAAAGGATTCACATTTCATGTAGAAGTTAAAAGAGTTTGAGCATAAAACTAAAGGGTCCATTGGCTAAATAGCGTTATTTCCAATAAAAACTCTTACCAATCCATTGGCTAGTTGTAGTGCAAAACAAAAAAGACCGGACACTGTTTAAAGAACAGTAAATCCAGTGTCTCCTATAGTATATAGTATAATATGGTGGCAACAGTCCCGCTTTCAAAAGAAGATTGGTAATCTAAAAGCCATCATATATACCTGTAACTTGAACTTGTTCCAAGAATTGGTAATCTATATGGAAACTTGAACAATCTATGATGCTGCAACTCCAAGAAAGTGTCCTAGAGAGGAATATGGTAAGATTGAGAGCTTAAGCAAAAGCAAAAAAGAGATTGCACAAATAAAAAATTCTTACCTCCGAATTAATGTTGTTGTGCCAACTATGAAGGAAAAAAAAAAAAAGAAAAAAAAAAAACATAACTCCACATTCCTTTTGCGGCCTTGCGTGACTGATTTTTGAAACATCTACACAATTTCATCTTAGGTTATCCATTTTTATATTACATCATTGAAAGCAGAATA